TGAGACAGGTAGCGCCCAAAAGTAAAAGTGGAACCGAGAGTGGTACGAGAGACAGAACGAGAGCAAGACAGACAGACATTACGAGAGCGAGACAGTTTGTCCCCGTACCACTGGTTGAAAACCACTGCTGTAGATCACTGCCGGTACGTGCGCTGGGAGCGCACCGTTTAAGTTTGAAAGTTGAAAAGTTTGTGAGTCTGAAACGCTATGTGATACAGTACAGTTTACACAGCACAGTACATGTTCTGTAGCTACTATTGCACTAAATGCTAACACTTGAATACGTTATGCAAATATGCAACTTGTTTGTTGAAATGTTAATAAATGGGAGCTTCCTCAAACAGCCATCTCTTTCCCGACAATCCCCTCTGTGCACGAACCCTTACATATGGTAATTAAACATTAAAACACCTGCAGCTTATAGTCCAGTGCGGCTTATATATGTACACATCATTCAATTTAGCTGCTGCGGCTTATATTCAGGTGCGCCTTATAGTCCGAAAATTACGGTACTAGTTGTCACACATTCATTATGCTTGCATTCATTATATTTTCCAGATGTAAGGACAACGTCGTCGGCCGTCAGTGTGACCGCTGCTCTCCTGGTTTCTATGGTTACCCCAACTGCAGGCTATGTGACTGCAACGACGCAGGAACTGAAGAGGAAGTGTGCGACTACTTCACAGGACAGTGTCTCTGCAAGGTGGAGCAGCACACACACACAAACAAACACACACACACTTCCAGTAATCCCAGTGGTCCCTAACCTGCTCTGCGTCCTCCACCTGTAGGAGAACGTCCAGGGCTCCCGATGCGATCAGTGCAGAATTGGTACGTTCCACTTGGACCCAACCAACCCCAAGGGCTGCACCAGCTGCTTCTGCTTCGGAGCCACGGACCGCTGCCGCAGCTCTGAGAAGAGACGCATCGAGGTAACTGTCACTCAAACTTTATTAATGTCACTACAGATGATTATGTTCTTACTAGAACTAGAAAAAACACAGATCCTACACATACAGAAGCTGAAACAAGCACTTTTTTTGTTTAGTTGGTTAGGGTTAGGGTTATTTAAACATTTCAGGTTTATTTTCAAACTATATGATCATTATTCTGACATTTAACTAACATTTCTGTCTTCAAAGTTTTTCTTTAGTAACGGTCAATTCAATTTCGATTTTACATAAACAACACATTTTTTCTCTCAGCATCTTGTGAACTAATGCTTACACTGCTCTCTTGTTGGTTTCTTTGCTGTTTGATCGTTCACCATGGCCTCCCTCCTGCAGGTGATGAACATGAACGGCTGGGTGTTGCTTGGAGCAGACAAACAGGAAGTACCGGTCGCAGTGTATCCGGGTCAGGACCTTGTGGAGGCCGACCTCAGCGATGTGCCCGACGTCTACCAGGACCTGCACTGGCACGCACCAAAGACTTACCTGGGGGACAAGGTGAGAGGGGAAAGACCACCTCAGGAGGGCTTGGGTAGTAGAAATAATATACTGTCCCCAAAGAGGCAACTTGATGCAAGCAAGTTTGCAAATATAAATCCACATCAAATAAATAATTTCTGGTTTACTAAAGCAAGAGATTTTTTTGCATCATTGGAGGATCATTATTTGTTTTAAACAAATGCGTAAAGGAAGTGGTTTTACTTAGTGATTTTTCTTGTAGATGCTAAAATGTCTCATCAAGAGAAAAACACAATTCACAACACCTACAGTGTGACAAAGTTCGGCGATGATCAAAACAATAAAACATTTAATACCGAAGGAATAAAAAATGTGGTCGATGAGAAAATTAATCCAGACCAACGATTGCATCTTGAAGTGACATTTATAAGGATAACATGTTATGATGTATACAAAAATATCTTTAAATGAATGAATATAGAGAAGTGTACGTTACCTCCGATGAATGCAATGATAAAAGACTTGGGAGACACAACCTGGTCACACCTATAAACACAAACAATGATCCTACATGACGGTGCCGAGGCTCCAGCGAGGTGTTTGGATACAGATCAGCGTTTCGTCTAGACGTTTAAACCGACAGCTTTCATGTGAGATCCAGCCAGCATCAATCTGCGGGCTGATGCTCTGATTTAAATCCCCAAACTAAGTCCTGTTACGCTCCACGAACCAGCTTCAAATGCCAGCCATGCTAAAACCTGCATGAACGCTATGGAAATAAATGCGTGTTATCTTTCACAGGCCTAAGATCCTGTTTCTGTTTGACTGTAAAGTCTGAATGTAATCCATTGTTGTTGTTATCAAGATGCAGTCTGTCTACTTGTCCTGTCTTTAATGCTTTCAAGCTTTACTCCTTCCGCCCTTTTTGGTTCTTAACCCTTTATTTCTCCTAAAACGACCTTGAATCCCCGTTTCTCCAGGTCTCATCTTACGGAGGCTATCTGAGGTACCGTCTGCACACTCAGACCATGAGAGGAGACGTGCTGTCTCTGCCTGCTGAAGCCTCCAGGCCTGACATCATTCTCAAGGTATAACACACACACACGCACGCACGCGCGCACACACACACACACACACACACACACACACACACACACACACACACACACACACACACACACACACACACACACACACACACACACACACACACACACACTCTCTCTCTCTCTCTCTCTCTCTCTCTCTCTCTCTCTCTCTCTCTCACACACACACACACACACACACACACACACACACACACACACACACACACACACACACACACACACACACACACACACATGCATATGGGCACAGATATCAAGGACTCCCACCATCTTGTAAAATTACCGCTGGTTTTCATTGTTCTGACCCCTACATATATATATATATTGCTGTTACTGCTGTTTCTTTATTTTACTAAAGTATTGTTTTAACATGTCACTAAATGTATCTACTTAAAGAATTTCTAGGAACTATGTTTAGTCTTACTTCTGCCAGTATGACCACAAACTCAAATGAGTATTTAATGTCGCTCTTTGTTGTCTTGAAAAGTATTCGGAGGCACTTGTTGAAACCTGCAGAAACAGAACACACACACTGTCTGTTACATAACTGCACACACACTTATCACAGTTTTCTTTCCTTTACAGGGTAACCAGATGACCGTGGTGTTCATGGAGCATGAGTACTCCTCACCTGAAGATCCTCACCTGGGAATAGTTCACATGGTGGAGGTAAAGTCACTTTAAATGCTGTCGTGGGTCGTTTAAGCTTCACAACCGAGGAGATTTATGATAGACGCTGAATGTAACAAAACAACACACGCAGGCTGGCAGCAACATGTCGGATTCCCCCTTTTCTTTCAAATGATATTGTTATCGGGCTTTTTTATTTAGTTATCATATCCTGAGGCAATTTCTTTCCTTGGATAGCAAAAATAAATGCAAAGTAATTGGTTGCAAAGATTAAGCAGTTCTCTGATTTAAGAGGAAATCATGTTGTTTCCCACTGCCGTCTAAAGCTGCTGATATGCAATACTAAAGAATATAACAAACCCATAAGACTACTATCACTATTAATCTTTCTGGCTTCATTTAAAGTTAGCAGTGATTATCATGACCAAAATAATTTACTACTAATTTACTTTATGATGTTATATCTATAGAAGAAATGTGTGGCAAACAAATTAATACAAATAATGTTATCAGTCAAAGTCGCACTGTTTTGCAGGTGGAACGTTTTCTTTACACCACATAATAATTTATGTTTAGTATTAACGATTTATGATATCATTATTAAAAATGTTAAATATCAGTTATCTGCAATACATGTATAGCACGACACCCCTACAAATAAAAGTGGTTTATTTTTAGGTTGACATTAAATATTTAGTGTTTGTTGTGCTTTTATATTTGGTCTGTTATCTCTCTATCTCTCTTAACGTATTGTATTTTCTAGCCAACAGGCGTCACTTTCCATGTTTTGATGTCTAACAATGTTCATATATATATTCTTTAACCCTTAAGTTGTGTTCGGGTCTCCCGTGACCCGTTTCAAGTTAAAATGATATAATAACTACGCTCTAGTTTTTTTTATCGGAACAAGGCTTCATGATATCCTCCACAGCAGCTCTTTAAACACTACAAAACAGATTTTGACAATTTTAGCCAAGTCTGAAGGTCTCTAAAAAAAAAGTGTATTTTGGTGTTGGGGTCTGGGGAGACCCGGCAGAATTGTTGTGGGTGACTCTGGGTCAAATTTGGCCCAATCACGATTCATCTTTGGCTTTAGACACCCCACCCCCTTCAGCCACTGTAACAATATGCACCTGGTCTCCCCTACCTCTGCCCCCCCCCCACGGGAACTCGACCTTTCTCAAGGAATATGTACACTAACACTTGAACCTGAACACACACATGCACGTGTGCAATATGTGGTGTGATGTGTTTTGGGCCATAACATAACATTACAACAGGATTGTACGGTTATGAATGCATTATAAGTTAGGACTGAAATAAATCATGGGTCAAAATTGACCCGCGAACACCATGAACGGTAACAGCTTTCAAACACAACACAAGGGTTAAAGGTCATTGTGGAATAAGGAACAGTCTAAAGCCCAAACCTGACCTTTGTCCTCCTTTTTCCTCTCAGGGAAGTTTCCGCCACGCTCAGACCGGTAACTCTGTGTCCCGTGAGGAGCTGATGATGGTCCTGGTGGGTCTGGAGTCCCTTCAGATCCGGGCCCTGCACTCCCAGTCGGCCCACTCTGTGTCCATACGCGGTGCCGTGCTGGAGGCCGCAGAGACCCTGCCTGCTGGTCGCCACGCCAACAACGTGGAGATCTGCATGTGCCCCGCCAACTACCTCGGAGACTCGTGTCAGGTGAGGTTAATCGAGAAGAGTTCATTAATCATCAGTTAGCCATGTTATTCATTGATAAAGAATTCCATCCCTTACTTACTTGTTTATCCATCTACAGAAATGCGCTCCAGGTTTCTACAGAGACACTATTGGTCTGTTTTTGGGGAAATGTGTTCCCTGTAACTGTAACGGACACTCTGACCACTGTGTGGACGGATCTGGAATCTGTTTGGTGAGATATAATATAAAAACACACATGTATTTTTTAATATCTTTCTTCAGCATTATCATCATCTCGTATCCTTCCTCCTTCCTCTTTCATCAGGACTGCCAGCACAACACGGCCGGTGACCACTGTGAGACGTGCCGGGGTGGTTTCCTTGGCAACAACAGTCTTGACGGACAGGCGGTGTCCTGCTCCAGTTGCCCCTGCCCACTGAGGGTCGCCTCCAACAAGTCAGCACAGTTTACTCCCTTTTTTCAGTCTTGCTCGAGTTACTTTTCTAATTGTATCTCATACTAGTATTTTGTAATAACTCTTTTTTTGTCCCTGCAGCTTTGCAGAGGGTTGTGTGCAGAAGACTGACAATATGCAGTGTCTGTGTATGCCGGGTTACGCTGGCCCTCACTGTGAAAGGTAAATCAGCACAGAGTGGGTTTGATAAGAAGTCTCAATCTAGTGGAAGAGTAACATATAGCAGAATAAAAAAGAGAGTTTCTGAAAATCTTCACTCTGGAAGAAGTTTTTCAGAAGCTATGTCAGTGACCTAAAAAGCCATCTGTGTGGACAAATGGCCATCGGGAAAAAGGACATTTTAAATACGAGTGTATGGCTGAACTAAACTACAGTTAAATGCTGAATTCTGATCATTTGTCAGTTGCTGAAAACATGTTAGTACTTACTTTCCCTCGCGGATAAATATATCTTAATCTGAGATGCTGCAGACGAATGTATCTTTAAAAAACGTGTCTCTTCTTACAGGTGTGCCCCCGGTTACTACGGCAACCCCATGGTGCTGGGCAGCAGGTGCCAGTTGTGTCATTGCAGTGGCAACAACGACCCCAACATGCTCTTCACCGACTGTCACCCTCTGACCGGCGAGTGTCTGAGCTGCATGCACGACTCGGCCGGGCCGCGCTGTGACATCTGCGCCCCCGGTTACTACGGAGACGCCATCGACGCCAAAAACTGCACCAGTGAGTTCAATCAAAAAAATGTTTCTATCAACAGAAATAGCACATTAAACACTTCCTCTCTCCTAAGAGGCTCTGGTCTAAAGTATTTATAATGAATTAGGCTTTCAGTAGATTGTTTAAGTAAAATGTGTATCAGCAGATTAAAAGTTTTGTTTTCTTTCACGCAGAATGTAACTGCTCTCCATGCGGCACCGAGTCATGTGACCGCCACACTGGACAGTGTCGCTGTAAAGCCGGAGTCACCGGACCGCACTGCGACCGCTGTGAGGTAAAAGCTTCAAGTTTTTCTCTCCACATTTTAACGTTTTTATATCTTAAATGTGGATTATTCTAAAATATAATTTGCACCCATATTATTTTTGTTGATATATCAATTCATTGCTCTTCAGAAAAACAAACACATTTCAGTCAGTCTTTTACTACAAATACTGACACAACTCAAAAAATGCAGGCCAATCAAATGAGAGGAAATCTTTGTCATATATTTGTGTAAACACTATATGTCCGATTTTGTATAGCTTCCCCTCATGCCTCTGCCTGTCTCTGTCTCCTCTCAGGACAGCTCGTTCGGCTTCGAGTCGTGCTCCGGCTGTCGGCACTGTGACTGTGAGGCGTCTGCAGCGCTGGTGCAGCCGTGCGACCCTCAGAGCGGACAGTGCGCCTGCCGGCCCGGGGTCAACGGAACCAGCTGCAAACAGTGCGCTCCGGGACACTGGGACTACGGACCCAACGGCTGCAAGGGTGAGTGCATGCAGGACGTAAGGACCTATAAATAGAAAAGGAATAGACTATAGAATCCTTTATTGTGATTATACAGGTACAATGAGAGGAGTAGAGCTACTCCTTTTTTTAAGGTGCCATCAAAATCACAAAAAACAAACAAGAGACGTACAACATTCAGGAGAAGACCACATGCAAACAACAAGCATTCATACAACATGCAGGAATATATCGGTTTAAGGAAAAATAAATATGTTTGAATGTGTATACAAATATATATATATATATATATATGTATTGTGTCATTGCAAGCTGGAGTTTAATGCAATCATTTAGAATAAGGTAGAAATGTCAGTCATCCCATTTAACATCGTTTTAGTCTCATGAGTTGATTTTTATTTAATCACACTGCGGATGCAAAATTGTTAACACTTAAAATCAACCCCATCCGTCCTTTTTAACATGACCCCCCCCCTCCCTCCCTGTGTGCAGAGTGCAGCTGTAAAGGAGGGCGCTGTGACCCCCGCTCTGGAGAGTGCCGCTGTCCCGACGGGATGACAGGAAAACAGTGTGACTCCTGCTCAAGCAAATTCAACGTACCTGTAGAGCAGCACCATGGCATGCACTGTGAACGTAAGAGCAAACACATTCCCAAACCTATAATGACAGCAGTTGATACGTTTATGTGTTCAATATCAACCAGGACCCTGTGATTTAATGTCTAAGGGATTGATGGGAACATGTTTTTAACACTGATCCGTGCGGAGAGAAAATGGGCTGCAGTGTAAAGAACATAAGATTTCTTAGAGAGTCTATATCTCTTTATGGAAATTAAGTGTGTGTGTGCGTGTGTGTGTGTGTGTGTGTGTGTGTGTGTGTGTGTGTGTGTGTGTGTGTGTGTGTGTGTGTGTGTGTGTGTGTGTGTGTGTGTGTGTGTGTGTGTGTGTGTGTGTGTGTGTGTTTCCCCCCTTGCAGCGTGTGACAGCTGTGTCATCGTCCTGTTGGAGGATCTTGAAAAAATGAGCGAGGACTTCCACTCGGTGACCGCTCAGCTGAGCAGCCTGAACGCCAGCTCCATGGCCTGGGCTCAGCTGCACAACCTCAACAAGTCTGTGGAGAACGTCACTGTGAGTCCACACACACACACACACACACACACACACACACACACACACACACACACACATTATGTGGCTGTAAGATGGATGTGTTGTTGGTTTATGGTATAGTGCAGAGGTTTCCAAACTTTGCCATCCCAAGGACCCCCATATAGCATTATCCTCTGGCGGGGACCCCCCCTGTTGCAATTTTTTTTTTAAATGATGAGTACATTAT